ACAGGAAGCAGTGGGAAGCAACAGCTATCTATGAGGCATCCTCACCTCCATGTGCTGGAAAGAAATGGTGATTAAAGCCGCCTGTTCAGCAAGGGAAGGCAGTGATAATATTGGAGAGGAGAAAATTAAGTGTTTCACTGATGAATCCAGACAGCAATCCCATCAGCTCCTGAGCATGGGTAGCAGTGACTGCTTGCTAGTGAGTACCCTGCTTAGCTTAGAGACTGGCTTAACAAGAAGCTCCACCTTATTTGTTTCTTTTCCTTGTCTCCCTTCACCATGACACATGCTAAAAGTTGCTGGCACAAGTCTACTAAACAGCAAAGCAGGCTGTGCTGAGAGTTGTTTATACATAGATCTGCCCCTCCTTGTCTTAATTGCTATTTTAAACAGAGATAATAAAATTGGTGCCAGAGTTTTGCAAAGAAGGTTCCTTTCCCATCTGATTAAGATTAAATGGACATATTAAGGTTTTTTTTCCCTCTGCTTTAGGGATAAAAAAGCCTGTTATGGAGCCCAGGCTTGCACCACAGTGCCAGAGAGCTTTACTTCTCAACAGAAGGGGCTCACAAGCAGGCAGGTGCATGAGCATCTAATTCCCAGTTCTTGTCCTCAGCCACCACCAGTTATTTACTGCTCCTGGCTCTCCCCATGGTCCCCCATGACTGATACACCCCTGGCGTCTAACAGAGCTTGTCCCACAGTATGTAAGAACATGGACAGACCCAGCTTTTTGGTGTCCCAGGCTGGGTAGAAGGAAGGTGGTAAAACAGTTGCCCAAATTATATGCCCTCACTTGGCCTCGCTCTACCCCTTGGTGAAAGCCCATTTTCCCCAGCAGTTTGTGTGTGTGCCATGGTGATGGCAGGATCTTCCTTCCCTCCCTGATGGGATGGCAGCGATCCCGCTTGCTCAGAAATGGGGACAGGAACCTCTGCAGCTGTGTCCGCTCCTGCCTTCACAGCAACAGAAATTCAGGGGGACTGGCCTGAGAGTACCAAGAGATGCTCTGCTTGAATGCCAGGCCATGAAGACATTTTCCAGCCCTGAGAACATACAGAAACCCACTGACATGTTGACTGTGCTCTGCTCTGCACAGACTGTTCCTGGAGAAAAGCTGGAGAGATGTGTCCCAGGATGCCATCCCCTGCCATGCCAGCAGCAGAGTTGAGTAAAGCAACCAGAATTTCCTTGTGTGTTTCCAAGGACTTTTCAGTGCCCTGGGTGTGCACGTTTACATGTAGTTATTACAGTAATTACCTCCCTGCTATCGCACTGCCCATCTCCACTAATACTTTGTTCTTCATACCTGGTCCAGACCATTAGGGTGGAAGAGAACACCACTGATGTGAGACAGATGATAGGAAAATGAGTTTTAATCCCCGAGTGTTTAGGCTATGGAGGTGTTTTTACCCTAGACTCGTGAGGTACCACTCACTGCATCTTGTTCTGCACCTCCAGACCAGATTCTCCACCAGGGATGGCCAGAGCCACCACTACTGTAAGCAGCTGCAGCAAAGGCATCTGGCCCCATTTCTATGCCAGTAGCTCAACTACACCAAAATACAACTTGTTCTTTTAGAAAGCTTCCCTGAACTGCCCTCCCAAAAGCACTAACACCACTTCTGGGAAGCTGTCACAGTGTCCCTCTAACTGTGAGTCACTTGGGTGCCTGCTGGGAAACTCAGAAAAGCAGGAGCATGTGAAGAACAAAATACGTGGATTCCCTACTATATTTTTTTGATGAGTGCTTTCAAGCATCTTTGCAGGTGCAAGGTTTAGTCCATCTGCAGAAGAGTTCAGTGGGAGGGAGAGCTGGGAGACATAGCCTATGCAAATCCCAGCAGCATCAAAGATGTGTAAGACTTGTGTGCCCATTTGCCTCCATAACTGTGTTCCCATTGGCCTGGGACAGCAAAATCTGAATGTTTCTTCATGCTGCTGGCAGTGGTCTGAAACTGAACTCAAATGGCTGAGTTTGATTTCACAGGCTCCAGCCCCTGCAAAATGCATTGCTCTCAGCCACTGCTCGCTGAGCTGTGCTGGAGCGTGTCTGGCACAGCCAGCCCCAGACTGGGCATGTGCTCTGAACCTGATATGCTCCTGGGGGCAATCCCAGGAGCCAGGCGTTGGGCAGAAACAGCAGGAGAACCTGGGGTAGGGAAGCCAGAGAAGGCTGATGTCTCTTTGTGGGTACTACAGATGGGTGGCAGCCCAGGCTGATGTACTCCTAGCAGTGCCTCAGCACAGCAGAGAGGAGTCCTGTCCCCCCACAAACCACAGGTGTTTTGTTCAAGTGCCTGGGTTCACCACAAAGCTCAGCAGACATTTTCTATGGCTGATTACCTTCCTTGTTAACAATGTGCATCTCATTTCCACCTATAGCTTCAACTCTTAGGTATAGGCTCATCTTGTGCCTCTCCAGATCTGAACGCAGGCTCTGAGCAGATGTCTCTGTTGGATGGAGTTGCTTTATTTACCACTCTGTTCTGCAGACCTCAGATGGGTTTTTCTCCCCCTCCTTGCAGCCTCCTTGGTTATTCAAACTGCTTAAAGAGCTAATATAAAATCTTGGCCCATTGCTCTGGGGGTGCCTTTGTCATGTCAAGGCGATGCCTTGATGGGGCCATCGCTTTCATCATGTTCCCTGCACTCACCCTGTAGAGCCCCAGTGAGCAACCTGCTGTCACCACCATGGCACAAATATCACTATGTCTTTTTCTAAATGCTCTTTTTCCTAAAGACCCAGTCCTCTAACAACTGTTTCTCCCTGGCATCTGTGTCCAGCTGTACTCATTTGCAGAGATTTCATACTTTCTCTCAGTAACCCCTAAATATATTGAGTAGCTGGGAACAAAACCCTGTCCAAAGCCATCCTTGTCCCCTTCATTTCCATGATCATTTTACGCCTGGGAGATACCTGGATGTGTACTGTGTCCTCCGTTGATATTTCAGTTAACATTTCCACTTTCTTTGTGCTTAAGACGTTGGTACACTAGTGTCTGTGGCCATTTCATGCTCTCCCAGTTTGCATGAGGAGCCTCCTGCCCACCCCCAGCAGCAGTATCTGTGGCTGATGGTGCAATGCAGCCTCCATGTCTGGGAGCAGTGACCACAAACCCAGCTCTCTTTTGAAGAATGCCCTAGGGGCAAATTCCTACCAAAAACCTGCTATCCATCAACTGCTTTGTCTCCTTTTGAAAGGCAGCCATGAGGCAAGTGAAAACATCCCACAACTGGAGTCATCCCTGCACACACAGATACTTTTTGCATGACTGTGGAACACATTTGGACCACTCGGGTCTCTCCTACCCACGATCCCCTTTAGAGATCATCAGCTGGGCCATCTGGCTCACTCTGCAAAACAGCAGGATTGTCCAGCCACTCCTCCCGTGCAAACCCTGGTTGTGCAACTGCTGTGGGAGTGGGGTGACCATGCCTGTGCGGGGAGAGCTGCCTGCCCTGCCCTGCCTCTGCCAAAGTGCTGTGTCTTATCTATAAGCTGGGAGCAAGTCGGGGGCTCTCCCTGCAGCAGTGGCAAGACAAAGCACAGGCAGCCAAGGCTGGGAGGTAAGTGTTACTGGGTGGCAGCAAAGCCGTTCCATCCCTCCCTGCCCCATGGCTTGAGGCTTTGAGGTTAGCTGCTACAGATACTTGAAGAGACAGTATGGAAAGTGTGGCAGAAACAGGCATGGAGTAGCTGAAATGGTATTTCCTAGTTGTTATTTCTAGCTTCTCTGCAAAAGGGTAGGGAATTAAATAGCATACATAGCTGGGAGATGTTAGTGATAAAAGTTAACTCACACTACGCAAAAAAAACTCCCACAAAACAGTTAGCAATGAGCAGCTTATTCTAGCACTTTCTTCACTGAAAAAGGAAAAAGTCCAGTTTTTATTCCATCCTTGGAAAGCAGAGTATTCATTAGGTGCTGCCTTCCTACTGAAAATTGAAATTGTTCATGGGGAATTTGGTGGGGTTTAGAAAATAGTGTCCTACCCCATTCTGCTATGGAGGACTTTTTATTTTTCTGATGAATACACCATCCTCTGTGTCTGCTGGAAGCTGAAAGTGCTTCTCAGAGCAGGAGAGCCGGTGCCAGCAAGCTGTAGTGCTGTCCCAGAGCACCAGGTTAGTAACTCAGTCATGCACGGTGCTACCTGACAGTGCTGAGGTTAAACCAGGGATTGCAGCAGCAAAGATTGATCAGGGCACTTGTGTGGTGGTCCTTGCTCTGGCAATGTCCAGCCTGAGCTGCTTGGCCATCATTCCTTGTTTCACTGCCCAGCAGTATCAAGAGGGCTTCGGGTCCACCATCATTCCTTCTGCATCCCTGTGACCCTCGTGGGGCTTGATATCAACCCAAGGGCTGCTGCCTTTTAAGCTGTTTGCAGGCCTGATGTCTCAAGTGGGCTGGCTTTGGGAGACAGACACAAAAGCAACCCTAAAGCCAAGGTGTGCTACACCCACAGCCCCTTCATTGGCCTCAGTAGCCATGTCAAAGTCAGCAATGTCTTCCCTGGGGATGGAGGACAGGACCCAGACAAAGATGCAGGGACTCAGTAGTTCTGGTGTGCATTTCATTTTCTTGTCTGAGAAAGGCGGGGCAGGTCTCCAAAGATAAAATACAAATATTTGCAAGACTGATAAGGAGGCATAGTTTAAACACAGCTTATAAATAAAAATTGGCAGCGAGTTGTGGCTTGACTACATACTTTCAAAGCAAGTTTCCAGGGCAGCTGCAGGGTTTAGGAAGCAGCCTGGTGAGTGCACTGTAAAAGTGGATGGATTTATTAAAAAAAAAAAGGGGGAGCGGAGAAAATTAATATTTAAACTTGTAAATGAAGAGCCCAAAATGCTGGTAAAGGGAAGGAAGGTTTGGGGATGGCACATAGAGAAATTTACTATAGAGCATATGCCGGCAGATGCTCCCTGAGAGGGTAGTGACGGTCTGTGGGGGTTTCTCCCAGGTTAAGTCCTGGGGATCCCAGAGACAGCAGGGATGAGAGTGGCGGTGGTGGGTGCCGGTGTCAGCGGGCTGACTGCCACTAAGTGCTGCCTGGATGAGGGGCTGGAGCCCACATGCTTTGAGCAGAGCCAGGACATCGCGGGGCTCTGGCGCTATACGGTGAGTGCCTGTCCTGCTTCTGACAGGAGCTGCAGCTTTGCAGGCTGGGGAGCATGTTGAGCTGGGCTCCAGCGAGTGGTGGAGGAGTGCAAGAGCTTGCTGGGTGCTGAACTCTCCCTGCTGCATTGCCCAAGAGCAGGGGAAGGGTAGTGGGGGGACTGAGCTGATGTACCCCAGGGTGCCATGCCAGGAGCACATTGAGGCCAGCCGGCCAAGCCTCTACCCGTCAGTCGTCAGCAACACCTCAAAGGAGATGTCAGCATTCTCCGACTTCCCCTACCCTGAGGACTTCCCAGTGTTCCTGCCCAGTGCCCAGCTACTGGACTACCTCTGCCGCTACGCCAAGTGCTTTGTCCTCCGGAAGCACATCAAATTTGGGGTGGGTGGTGGGTGCCCTGTCACTGCCCTGCTTCCCACGCATGCTGAGTGCTGGTGGGGACTCTGCTTTTCTTCCATTTTTCAGTCCACCATTGTCAGCGTCCAGAAATGCCCTAACTTTTCTACCACGGGACAGTGGGGTGTGGTCATGAAGGTGGATGGGAAGAAGACATCACATGTCTTCGATGCTGTTACAGTTTGCAGCGGCAATTTCTCTGAGCCATCCCTCCCCCTGCACTGTTTTCCTGGTACAGTACCTGGCTGCCTGTGGTTACCTGCTTCTAGGGGCTAGGGGCAAAAGGGTTAAAGATTCCTTGGGGAAAATGTTTCCTTCCTTTTCTTGCTTCTGTTTTTCACACCTCCTGGCATGAACAGCAATACATCCTGTGCTTCAGCAGCTTTGTCTCTGCAGGCACTGGCACTTCAGAGCAAACCTTTAAGATAGGATGGTTTAGCCTCAAAGAAACCGCACAGCATGAGAGATGGGACAAGGTCCTCTCAGTGAAGCTCCATCGTCTTTTACAGAGATGTACTCAGCATTGCTGTGGTGAATCTCCCCAGCTGTCAGGATAGAAACGGTTGCTTTGTCATCACCATTGTCAAGTGCTTCTGAAGTCACTCACAGAATGGGAAAGGATTGCTGGCTTTTCTGATTCTTTGTATACCCACCTTGTAAAGGCTGAATCCTGAGACTGCACCAGCACATAAACTGTCTTTCAGGTCCCACCCAGCACGTGTCACTGCTCACTACTGTGCATGGATGCATGAGACCCCATTTTGGAGAGGAAGCACCAATTCTGTGTGTGTGAGATGGGGAGCTGGACATTCCCAAATCGCCATTGGCCAGGGATTGCACCCCTTGATCTTGCCATCTGGATTATTACTACGCCAGGTCTCCTAACAAAACCCACAAATGCTCAAGTAATTAAAAGCTTTGTTTCTTTTTCCCCAAGGCATGGAGAGGTTTCAAGGCCAGTACTTTCACAGCCGGCAGTACAAGCATCCCGACGTGTTTCAGGGAAAGCGCGTTCTCGTGGTTGACATGGGCAATTCAGGAGTGGACATTGCAGTGGAGGCCAGTTGTATAGCTGCAAAAGCACAGCCACCTCAGGTGTTCAGGGAGGGCAATGCTGGAGGCAATAGCTGAGTTTGCCATCACTGCAGGAAGAGCAAGCTGGGTTTACCCTGTGTAGTGTCCAAACAGTATTTCTGGATCTGTATTTCTTGGTCAAAACTCTTAAAGCAAGCTGGTTGTTCTCTTCTCTCCTGTTTAACCTCCATAACCAGCTGCTGAGAGTTCTTAAAGATGCTTTTTCATTGCAAAGCTGTTTGTGCTTTATCCCTCAGGTTGCTTTATAAAGGCAACATGCAAATTCATCACCAGAATTGTTGATTCTCTACTCTCTCCCAGGTGACCATTTGCATCAGCCAAGGTGCCTGGGTGCTCAGTTGCGTGTTTGACCATGGCTACCCATGGGACATGGTTTTTAACACTCGCTTTATGAGCCTGACAGAAACAGCCTGCCTGGGCCCCTTTCATGGGAGTTGATTAACTACAAGGTGAACCAGTGGTTCATGCATGAAAACTATGGCCTTCAACCAGAGAAGAGGTACTTCTTGGTGTTTCCCATCCCATGCAGTGTCACAGGGCTTGTGCTGTGGGCAGGGGAGATCTCCAGCAACCAACCCAACCAATGCAGCAACCAACACCCAGACTGGGGTGATCTCCAGGGGGGAGTTTATAGCCTATCAGGAGAAGATAAGCATTAGGACCCTTAGGTGGTGCGAGGTGGAGCACACTGGAAAAGGCTAGGAAGGACCAGAGGAGTTTTCCTCGTGAGGCCCCCTGGGAAAAGAGGAAAAGGCTTAAAGCATGGATCAGCTCTGAAAAGAGATGGTTTAAAGGGTAATGGAGTGAATGAAAGAAGGCTGCAGGAGATGTCCGTGAGTCATCCAGGCTGTGGGACAGGGTGACAATAGTGCAAGGGTGAAACATGTCAGTGTTTGGAGAAGGGAGGGGGAGAGCTGTCTGCTCTGAGCAGATGACACTGAGAGGTTGTGGGGCTGGAGGGCCCAGCGGATGAAGAGCAGAGGCACCAGCAGGGTTTGTTCATGGTCTCCAACGCTCTGAGCCCCTCAGCTCTCCACAGCCACCTGGTGCGTGAGCCTATGACCTTCCAAGCTGCATCCTGACAGGGAGGATCACCATCAAGCCAAGTGTGAAGGAGTTCAAGGATAACTCAGTTGTTTTCTACAATTGTCCTGAGGAGGAGCCCATTGATATTGTTAGCTTCTGCACAGGCTACGTCTCCTTCCCATTCCTAGAAGAAGCAGTTGTCAAGGTGGAAAACAAACACGCATCCCTCTAGAAATATGTGTTCCCAACGACCTGCAGAGGCTCACCCTTGCCATTCTTGGGCTGATCAAGCCATTTGGAGCCATCATGCCTGTGACAGAGATGCAAGCGCGCTGGGTCACCCGTGTCTTCAAAGGTAAGAGAGCTTATGTGAGCTCTTTGGTGTGCACAAGGGAGCATTTCTAGGGCTCAGACTTCCTGGGTTATTTCACTTCAGCTAAACTATAGCATCATGAGCGTGTGCTTGGTCCAAGCTACATGCAAGCTCATGACATGTACCTTAGATCACTTGGTTTTTTAGCCCGTTAAGCTGATGTTTGTAAGCTAATGCTTTGTACATGTCTGCTGCCAGCCAAGAGTGTGCGTCCTGTTCCTCAGTGTGACTCAGCTGATGTGCAGTCCTGCACCTGATCCTGCAAACCACAGTCTAAACTAGGTTGTTGAAGACAGTATTTTTTCTCTAAAATATCTCAGAAGTCAAAGCACAGAGATGGATACGTAAACCTGGATACATAAATAAGAATTATCTTTTAAGATACTGTGGTGGGTCCACCCGGGCAGGAGTTTTTGCTCTTTAATGGACAGACATGTTTGTCCACCATGGCCACCAGACAGGAAGAGTCCCATTGCCCCACAAAAAGAATTATTTGTAATTATTGGTGTATGGAAAAAAATCTATTGGGGGTTGTTTGCTGGTTTATAAAAATAACTTCCTGATGGGCTGGTGTGTAGGGCTGCATTAAGGCTCCTCCACAAAGCTAGGGGAAGCTCTGGGGTTTCTCTTTGGGATGATAGCCTCTGGGGTTTGCACGGCCCATCTCACCCCACATTGTCTCCCTGTAGCGTGGCAGCACAAATCTGTAAGAGCAGGAAAAAGTGCAGGTGAATTTGTACCACTGTGGAGGGCTGGCCTCTGGCAGAATTGCCACTGCTGAGCAAAATCTGAGCAATAAGGCTTTCCCATCTCCCTTAGAAGGGCTTCCCATGTGTTGTATCTCTAAATGAGTGCACAAGTCCTCCCAGGAGTTAAACTCTGCAAGATGCTCTCCTCTCTCTTCTATGTTTGTGTCAATTGCCTCCTCAGTCTGTCATGGAGAAGGAAGTAAATGAGAAGAACAAAACCCGAGTACAATGGTAAGCCATTCCCCAGAGCCCCGAAGGTTTTTTCAGTGGATTGACAAGCTCCTGGAGTTTGAGGGGCAGCAACATGCAGGCTCATACTCTGTGGCTGTTCCCCACACATATAGCAGAGACAAGGCAGGAATGTCCAGATCCAGCCACCCCTTTTACTTGCACTCACTCAATGTAACCTTTGATTTGACAGGTATTCTGCCTGTTGATGACAGGAAAAATTGAATTCATAGTAGTCAGAACTAAAGCTTGCTTGGGAGTTGGGGAAGTGTGCCAAGTTCCCCAGGGATGGAAAGAAAAAATGCCGGAGAAATTAACAGTAATAAATGCAAACTAATTCAGCTGGGGAAAAAAAAATCCTCCAACCTGAAGCGTACATACAAATCACCTCACCTCTCAGCATGGAGAGCTAACTTACTGTGAACTAAGCACACTGGCATGTAGTTCATGGGCAGGCAAAGGGTCAAATAAAAGGCTAAGACACAGAATGAAATGAATGAGATAAAACTAGAAAAATGGGTGATATGTCAATCCATAGTTCATCTAAATAGCTATAATAGAAAAGGTACAGAAGAGTAAAATACAGAATTGCACAGAACAGTTGCTGTACCATACAAGGCTACATACACATGGCTCTTTTCAGCCCACCAAAGGTGGGACATGAGACTGTGAATTCTGGAGAGAAGGAAAACTGGAAGCAATTCTCCAATTTACCATGTATTTTTGAAATACTTGTTGGAAAAGAATGTGAGGGAAGCTAAAGGGTGCTGCCTTTCTCATGCTGCATGTGACTTCTCTGCAGAGAGCAAAGGGAAAACTAGTTAAAAAAAAAAAAAAAAAGCTGCTTTGACAAAGTCTTTTACTAGAGGTCCACCAAGATGAAGGGGAGGCCAGATGCAACTTGTGAGTAATGAAATGAAAGACCAACTGATGCACATGAGAAAGGTGTGTTCCAGGGCCAGCATCACTTTACATATGTTATGTCACAGGCCCAGACAGACCCAGGTTCCCAGTGCATGTGCACCCACTCGTTTTCTAAGAGGAACCCAGTTGTGTTTGGATGCAATAACAATGGTTGTGCAGAGGACTTGACCTTCAGTCCCTCTCAGCCTTGTTGACACCAATCCTTCTCCCACCTCTTTTTCTTCTCCCATTCTTCTCCCAAACCCAGGTTTGGTCTGTCCTGTGAAGAAGTCCTCAAAACTGATTGCCTGGTCTACATGGACAAGCTCACCTCCATTGGTGCCAAGCCCAGCATGCTGGGGATACTCTGCAGAGACCCCCGGCTGGCCCTCACTGTTTTCTTTGACCCCTGCACCCCATACCAGTACTGGATGAGGGGCCCCGGGTGCTGGGAGGAGGCATGCCAGGCCATCCTCACCCAGTGGGACCAGACTCTGAAGCCCACGAGAACACAAGTCACTGCCGGCATCTCCAGCCCTTTCCCTTCTCCCCTGAGGGTGGTGGGGTTCCTCCTGCTCATGGCTGCCTTGTTGTTTTGTTTCCAGTAGACTTTAGGGTTTTTTCTTGTCCTTGGGGATGTTATTTCAGGTCAGACAGCCCCAGAGGGTGCCATGGGAAAAGGGGAAAGGAATTTCAGCAGATCACAACACATTTAAAATTTTAATCAGCAGCACAAGCCTCTCTCTGCTCCAGCTCACTCCCAGCCACAGCTTTGCAGACCTGATCAGCTGGGGCTAGCAGCCTCTGCCCAGCATTTATTGCCCCTCTGCTGCTCTCCTGCCTCCTGTGGTGAGCAGAGCATGGCTGTGCCTGGACCACGCTGGCCAGGATGCTGCGAGGACAAGACTAGCAAAAACAGCTTTGGGTGTTGCAGATGGAAAGAAGCACAGGTGCCCAGTCCTGCCCCAAATCACCTGGGAATTGGGGTCTTTGGTGCAGCAAGGGATTATCTGGGCTGGATCTGCAGGTCAGGCTGTCCCTTCCTCCAACCTTAAATCCTATTACTCAAAAATCCCAGTTTGGGTTGAATCAGTGCATCTTCTCAGCAAAAGAGCCCTGGCTGTGGTGATTTGTCACCCCTGAGACCAAGGCTGGTACCCTGTAAGGCTGAGCACTCCCAGCTCTGCTTCCCTGCACTCCCCAACACTGTCAGGACAACCCTGGGACTTCGTTTTGTATGTGGAGAGAATTTCAATCAATAAAACTTTATCAGCTGTAGCAGGAGTGTGGTAGGCTGCCTCCTCATCGTCCAGCGTGCACTGGAAGAGCTGGGGGGGTCCTGTGCCTGGGCTGGGGCCATGCCAGCAGATCCTGCGGGGAACCCACAAGCTTGGGTCTGCAGGGACTTTCATTGACCACCCAAAATTAGGCTGCACTGTGCACCATGTACCCCATCCATGCCATCCACTTGCCTGTGTTTTGCTGATTTCCCAGGTATGTCAAGTAAGCCCCTGTCCAGCACGGGCAGCACATGGGGGATGGATCAGGACAACCCCAGGGGCAGTTGCGGCAGCAGTGAGCTGCAGCATGAGAGTCCTCGCAAGCACGGCCCCCTAGTGATCACAGTCCAGATTTCCACCCGGCACTGCCACAGGGATGTTGTTAACTTTCTGCCAGTGCGTTTAAGCACAGCAGAGCAGAGGAACGTGGGTGTAAAGGTCAGTGGTACAAGAGGTGGAGCCAGCTGCCCGAACTTCAGCCTTTCCTACAAATCTATGGCGAGAGAAACTTGAAGCAAAGCTCGAGTAGTGAAGGCACAGCACTGCTCTGCAAGGTTTGCGCCTCACTTCTCTCTGGCTGAGTTTTGTAGGCTTTAGAAGTGGGCTGCCAGCTCTCTGGGGTTTTGGCATTCACTGCTGGTTTCGCCTTGCTGCTGGTGGGGGAGGATGGGGGTGTCGCAGAGACCTGCTGGAGCAAAGCTGTCTGTAGGCAGTGCTGGAAAAGAGGGGTGACTGTAGCATCCTGGGCACCTCGCTAGCTTTTGCCAAATTTAAGGGAGCCTCCAGAAATGGGGGGTGGGCAAGTGTTGGCACTTCCTGCACTGTTACTGCAGATCAAGGAGCAGCTCAGGCTAGCCTCTTGGATGCAGTGGTTTTTTTGCTCCTCCCTCATTTTTCCCTGGCTTTCTGCAGTTTCTTCCAGTTCCTGTTTACACTAACTTACTTGTTGACACAAAACTGATACGGAAAAGGTTATAACTAACTCTTTCTTCAGAGTCTGCAGTAGGAGTGTTTGTTATCTAATAAAAGATAATGTGGGTTAATTTTCTTCCTAGTTTTCTTGCTTTCCAGTCAAGCTCGGTACAGCTCAGTTTACACAGTTACCCGAGCTTTGAGTTCCTCCCATTTATACCCTGCATTTCCTGGGTTTCTTACCTTTTGTATATTCTATAATCCCAGACGCATTTTCACAGTGCTGTCTAACTTCTGAATCACTGAGCTGTGCTCCTGCTCAGGCAGGCATCACTTAAAAAAACCCCAAAACCAAAAAAACACAAACTTTTTGTTTTCAAGAGAATGCCCTTTAATGGGAAGTTAAAAAAGGAAAGCATGAAAATGAGCCAGCTTAGCTGGATTGTTTCCTGAAAAGATTTCAGAAGGATAATTTTGTGCAGGCAGAAGCAGATAGCTGCAACCCCCTTCCCCTTCCTTGCATGCCCTGGAAAGAGAATAAATAGAAGCAGCAGTGCAGTGAGGTTTTAAAGTGTCTCCTTTTCCCTCACCTGCAGGAGGGGAATCGCTGGGCCTTCAGTGCAGGCTTAGCACAGCAGGAAAGGCAATGTTTAAGCCAAGAAATAGTGATGGCTTTCTGCAAGGACAGTTTTCCTCTGTGGACACCCGCAGCCAGAGAAGACCAAGGATGTTTTGCTGGGGATAGGAAGAAGGGACTGGTGTTTCTGCTAATATCTGAGTTATTTTATTTCCAGTTGCTTGCACACTGGCCCATTGCCTGCTGCAGGATAGCATGGTGCGGAGCGTGGCCATTATCGGGGCCGGGGTCAGTGGGTTGGCCTCTGTCAAGTGCTGCCTGGATGAGGGGCTGGAGCCCACCTGCTTCGAGAGGAGTGAGGACATCGGGGGGCTCTGGCGCTACACGGTTAGTGGGCCCTGCCAGAGTGGGGAGGATTGTCCCTGGGTTTATCCCCTCCCTTGGATGCCCTTTGCTTTGCAGCAAAGAGGAAAGGGTGGCCATGCCCTTGTGGAATGTCCCTGTCCCAGGCACAGGGCTCCCCCTGAATCCACCTCCTTTTCCACCCTGACTCCAAGGTGGACAAGGAGATGGAGGGAGTGGAAGGCATGGTCACCAGGTGCTAATCCCAGTTTATTCCTTGTACCCAAATACAAGGAGGAAAAATACTCAAGTACTTTGGGGGGAGAAAGTCCTTCCCCATACACCTGCAAACGGCACTGCTGGCTTCACACAGAACTCCATGGACAGCGGAAGGGTCAGCGTGTACCGCTCGGTCATTACCAATACCTCCAAGGAGATGTCCTGCTTCAGCGACTTTCCTTGCCCAGAAGATTTTCCCAATTACCTACCCCACAGCCTCCTTATGGAGTACTTTCGGATGTATGCCCGGCACTTTGATCTCCTGCGGCACATACAGTTCAAGGTGAGCGGGAACCCCAGATATCACGGGGAGTGGAGCCACCAGTGGCAGCAGTTACCAGGGCATCACCCAGGTGAGATGATACAGTGCCAGGTGTGATCCTGTGAGGACAATCTGCCTTTTGCATCCTGAACACAGACTTTTTGGCTCCATGTTTTAAATTAGGCTGCTCCAGTATGGGCTGCCCAGTGCCCCTCATCAATGCTATCACCAGGGGAAAGGTGCAGGGTGGGATTTAACAGCTTCAGAGGTGACATGCAGCTCCCCAGGGACCCAACATGCCCCCAGCAGCCCCAGCCCTTTGCAGGATGGTCCTTTGTGAAATGCGGTGCAGTCCCTGACTGCTGTTTTGTTGGGCTTTGATGTAAGACAACAGTTCTCAGTGTGAGGAAGCACCCGGATTTTGCCACCTCGGGCCAGTGGGAGGTGGTCACTGAGACCGATGCCGTCCATAAGTCGCACACCTTTGATGCCGTCATGGTTTGCACTGGCCATTTCCAGGAGCCCTACTTACCACTGGCTTCTTTCCCAGGTAAGTCCTGCCTCAGTAGCAGGTGGGGCTAGGGCTTCCCCCCAGGGTTTCATGCAGCACCCATGCGTCCCTTGGCTGCATTTTCCTCTGCGAGCCCGCCTGCTCCATGAAGCCTCCATGCTGGGGCATGTGGGACCCTTACCCCATAGAAATGGTGGGGGGCATTCCCCGGAATGGGAAAAACACCACATAAAGGCACAGCTAGGCTCCTGCATGAGAATTTGCAAAGCAGAACTGTTCAGGAGAGTGGCATCACTCAGGGAGTGACATCTCCACGGCTGCAAGCAGAGGTGGGTGGTCAGGGGCTGCAGAGGGTCCAGGAATGAAGCTAGGTGGGGCAAGCAAATGTACCTGGCAGTAGGAGATGCTCCCTGGTCTGTGCCTAGGTATCAACACTCGCTTCAAAGGGCAGTACCTCCACAGCCGGGAATACAGAGATGCGGAGGCTTTCCGGGGAAAGAGGGTCCTTGTGGTCGGCATTGGCAACACAGGCGGTGACCTCTCTGTGGAACTGAGCCATGTGGCTGCGAAGGTACAGTTCTGCTCAGCCTGGCCAGGAACCACAAGAGCCAGTGGCTCGGGGTACATGCAGGAAGCTTTGCCCACAGGCAATAAATAGCACTTCAAATTGAGGGCAACTGAAGAAGCTCTGCAATTCCTGGAGAGTTTGGGCCACCTGAGGAGTGGCTGTTCCAGATGTTGGAACTTTGCAGAAACCACTACAAGTTGTTTGGTTCATCCAGATGCTGGATGATAACCCTGTTGGCTCCAAAGTGCAGGAGATGGGATTTGCCATTGACGGCAAAAGTGGCAACGAGATGTCTGGGCAGAAGGCTGAGACCTGCCTTCTCCTTCAGGTGTTCCTCAGCGTCAGGAGCAGCACATGGGTGTTCAGCCGGGTCTCAGACCAAGGCTTCCCCTTGGACATGATCAGCACCACCCGCTTCAACCACTTTCTTGACTGGCTTCTCCCATCAGCCCTCACGAGGAGGATCAGGTTTCGGAAGTTCAATTCATGGTTTAACCACACAAACTATGGCTTGGCTTCCACCAAAAGGTTTTTTTTCTAACTATTTTGTTGGTTAGTCAGGGGGGTTTAATGGTGTGAAATGCTCAATTTTTAAGTTCAGGGGTTATTTGTGGAATAGCGAACCATTACAGGGGAACTGTGGCTACAAAAGATGTTTCAGGTCCCTCTCAGGTGCTAACATTGCTGTTCTCTTTTCCACCTGCAAGCTCCAACTTTAAGGTAATTATTAATGAAGAGCTGCCATTTTGCCTCCTCTCTGGGACTGTTGTGTTGAAGTCAAATGTGAAGGAGTTCACTGAAAACTCTGCTATTTTTGAAGATGGGACAACTGAAGAAAACATTGATGTGGTGGTCTTTGCCACGGGCTACATCTTCACATTCTCTTTCCTTGAAGAGTCAGTTCGCAGCCTCTTTGACGATAACCGTTCCCTCTATAAACGCATCTTTCCTCCCCAGCTGGAAAAGCCAACACTGGCCATCATTGGCTTAGTCCAGCTGACTGGCTCTGTGATGGTGGGAGCAGAAATGCAGGCTCGCTGGGTGACGGGGATCTTTGCAGGTAGGAAATAGAGTGCAAGGACGGGGTGATCTTCTAGGGTGGGAGGTTTGGCGCAGCCTGACCTGCTCTCTGCTGAGCCTAGGGCATATTTTGTCTCCTGGTGCAGTGCCCATGGTAGCCATGGGCATTAGTAGCATTGTGGCCTCTGTCCCCCAA